ATTTGACAATTTTATGAAATTATTTGATTAAAAAACAATAATAAGAAATTAAGAAATTATGAAAAACACATAATTTATGTGAGAATACATACATAGTTACCATCATTATATTTATATGTAACATTAACAGTATATTTACAAAATTTCTTTCTATAACAGAACACATGATATACGTTTCTTCACTCCTCTACGCTCCAACATTTGTCTTCTTCTAATAGAATATAAGAAATATACAACATAATTCTTAATGATGGTTCGATGCCAGAGGATGATTGACAATTATGAACATGGCATTAGCATGTTAGGCAAATAATATCCCGTGCAAATTGACTTGTTTAATCATCTAATTCTGTACGGGAAATTACAAAAAAATATTGAGTTCAATATATGATCGCGAAAGTCTTGGTTGCTTGTAGGGAAAGAGTAAGAAATTGAAGAAATTATATAAAAATTTCTTCGCAAATCACCGTTTCCTGATTTGGCATACTGCGTTTATCCAACGAAATTTGTAGTCCCCGAAAATATGCTGAATCAGATATCTCAAAACGGGAAATAATTAAAAATTCGTACGTGTGATGAGGAAGATCGATTTTACATATATTTTAGAAATAATAATAATAATTTCAAAGCATTACTATAATTAACATTAATACATAGCCAGCTAAATATTTCAAAAATTAATTTGAAGAATTTCCACACCAGCTAAATATTTCAAGGCAAATTATGCCCTGGACCCGTGTCCACAATTCCCAAAACGACATCGTTTTTAAAAAAAAACGCGTCATTTAGTTAAAAAAAAAAAAAATCGCGCGCGTTTTGCCGTTAACGGCGTTATTTTTTTTTTTTTTTTATTATGAATGTACAGTTATGCCGTTATGAATGTACAGTTATGCAATTATGAAATTATGAACACAGAGCTCTAACATTATGAACTTACAATTATGAATATATATAGTGATAAAATTATGACCATGGAGCTTTAAAATTGTGAATATAGAGCTTCGAAGATTATGAATGTACAGTTATAGAGTTATGAATCTACAGTTATGGAGTTATGAATCTACAGTTATGAGATTATGAATCTACAGTTATGGAATTATGAATGTACAGTTATTGATCGAATTATGAACAAAGAGCTCTAACATTATGAACTTACAATTATGAACATATAGTGATAAAATTATGAACATAGAGCTCTAAAATTGTGAACATAGAGCTTCGAAAATTATGAATGTACAATTATGGAGTTATGAATGTACAGTTATGACGTTATGAATGTACAGTTATAGAGTTATGAATGTACAGTTATAGAGTTATGAACGTACAGTTATGGAGTTATGAATATATAGTTATTAACATATAGTAATAAAATTATGAACATATACTTCTATAACAAAGTGATCTGAAAAAAAAAAAAAAAAAAAAAAAAAAAAAAAAAAAAAAAAAAAGGAGATAACAGTGCCTAACGGCACTGTTACCCATGTCCAGCAAGCATGCTGGACACGGGTCCAAGGCATAACGATTGATATTTCAAACAACCAAACAAAAATCTCCATCTTGACAAGTTATAATTGGTCTTTCAACAAGTATTTTGATTAAATTAACTTTGTAATCCAAGCCTTCTATGTACCTTTTTGAACCATCGTTGTTTGGAAGACTATCTATCGAACATATATATTGGGCAAAGGAGTCTAACATAATCTATATAGTAGCAACTAGTATGCCATATCAGGAAGCAGAAATTGGATCAGTGTTTCATAATGCTGCTTCAATATTGGTATTATGCTAAAATAAGAAAGCCCAAACCCAACACCAGAACATCCCAGATTCAAGCCCAACATTATTGGTGCCTCAGTGGTAAATTTTTTTGGACTGATGTCATTGCAACATTTTAAATGTACTACAAATAACACTATTTGCACACTATAAAAATGTATACTGAATAAACTCCACTTTATAATTTTAATTGGTAAGAGTCACAAGGAAATAAACCAGGATACTTTTTAGTTAATTAACGTGGTTGATCAAATAGACCACATATCTGTTGTTAGATTACTTATTAGCAAGTGCAAGCAATGGCAATCGTTAGGGTAATAGTGCCGTTAGGCATTGTTATCTTCTTCTTCTTTTTTTTTTTTTTTTTTTTTTTTTTAAAAAAAAAATTTCAGACCGCTTCATTATAGGAGTATATGTTCATAATTTTATTACTATATGTTAATAACTGTACATTCATAACTCCATAACTGTACGTTCATAACTCCATAACTGTACATTCATAACTCCATAACTGTACATTCATAATTTTCGAAGCTCTATGTTCACAATTTTAGAGCTCTATGTTCATAATTTTATCACTATATGTTCATAATTGTAAGTTCATAATGTCAGAGCTCTTTGTTCATAATTCGATCAATAACTGTACATTCATAATTCCATAAGTGTAGATTCATAATCTCATAACTGTAGATTCATAACTCCATAACTGTACATTCATAACTCCATAACTGTACATTCATAATCTTCAAAGCTCTATATTCACAATTTTAAAGCTCCATGGTCATAATTTTATCACTATATGTTCATAATTGTAAGTTCATAATGTTAGAGCTTTGTGTTCATAATTTCATAATTGCATAACTGTACATTCATAATATAAAAAAAAAAAAAAAAAAAAAAAAACGCCGTTAACAACAAAACACGCGGGTTTTTTTTTTTTTTAAATTAAATGACTTTTTTTTTTTTTTTGAAAAACGACATCATTTTGGGCCCGTTCATTGTGGACACGGGTCCTGGGCATAATTTGCCAAGCAATGGGGCATAGTCTAAATCATACAAAACAAGTTGGGCTGGTCAGTGAATCTTACGACAATATTGATATAATCCTCCAAAATACTTATCATTTGAGCAAGGTCCTTTTGAGATATTACTTTGATTATTGGACCAATTGAATTATCTTATAACCCTATTAATCTATATATTGGTTGGATTCAGAGGCATGAACAAAGCCATGTCAACTTTAAAAGTGTGTAAATAATATATATATATATATATATATATATATATATATATATATATATATATATGTGTGTGTGTGTGTGTGTAATATTGACTAATTCTATTATATTCTTTTCTCTCTTTATACACTTTCACTTTTTTTTTTTTATAATAATTATAAGATCATATGTGATATGTATCTAGATTTATTTTAATTATATAATTCAATCACATTTTTATTCATTAGATATTTTTATATCATGCATTTCGCGTGTATTTAAAATAAGATAATATAAGAACATATATAACCATGTTCAAATAAAAATTAGATTTTACATAAAAACCAACAAACTAATATTATTGGTTAATCTAGAATAATCAATTGTGAAAAATTAAAGAAAAATGTAGTGATATTTATCATCTATTTTGAAGCACTTAATATTGCATTCACATGTAAATGACAGTGTGATTGAGATTTATAATAATATATACTTAAGAATACACTTATTAGTTATTTGTAAATGCACTATCAAACAAATAAATGTTAATGATATATAATGTAATAAAATTAAATATGACAATCACATAGTAGTTGATGATTAAAAGTCAATTTTTGTTATATATGTGTTTACTTAGCACGCACACGGGAATGTCAAATGGGAAAACTCACAGAAAAAACGACGACTCCAGACATTGAATATGTATAAATTATCATCCACAAAAACAACTTGCATATTCATCAAACACGTAGCTGGTCCAGAAATAGGGTGCCTCGTCATCAACAACGCTTCATTTTATATCATCGCTTCATTTTTCAATTTTTTTTATACATGAAGTATTTCAACTTAGACTAAATTAAGTCTAAGTCCTCAAAATTGCTATCCAAGCCATAAATTAATATAGTCCCATTAGTTCTTCTTCCTTCACCCAAAAGTTGAATTTTCAACTCCAAGAACCTATACGATGTGTTCTGACAAAGCATTTTAGAAGATATAAATCACGTAACTCAATGATTCAACAGTCAGGGCAAAATTACGGTGACTCAATGATTCAACCGTCATGGCAAAATACCTGTACACACAAGAAATCTATCCACTTTGAACATAATTGATCTCTGATCTCTTCCCAAATATTACCTACTAAATTATTAAGCTAAGTCCGTACGAGCTAGTCCCATTACTTCTCAGGCTCTCACCTCTATGGATACATCATAATTCATACACGGTCTCCCAATGACCCAAGTTCACAATAATATTCAATTTTAATGTGATTTATTAAACTAACTGAGCTAGTCATGCGCAATCGTTATACCATAGAACCGTTATCTTCTTCTTCTTCTTCTTTTAAATTGTTTTCTCTCTTAATTAACCGCGACTTTTCTTCTTTATTTTCACATTTCGCGGTTTCACTTTCTCTTCGCGCAAGCTTCTTCAACACTCATAAATTATGAATGTGCAGGCATAGGTTTATGAATGTGCAGTTATGAAATTATAAATATTCTTTTATGAGATCATGAATTTTCTGTTATAAAATTATGAATTTTCTGTTATGAGATTATGGATTTTCTTTTATGAGATTATGAATTTACAGAAAATTCATAATACATACTGTAAATTCATAATCTCATAATAGAAAATTCATAATTTAATAAATGTAAATTCATAATCTGAACATAAAATGCAAAACGCCGTTAACAGCACATTAATTAATTTTTTTTTTTCTGTCAAAACGATGCCGTAATGGTGAACACGTTTCCAAGACATAATTTGCTAGTCATGCGGGGACTAGTTCAATCTTTTTTTTTTTTTTTTTTTTTTATCAATCAACCCGACAAATAATTCAATGCCTTTAATATTTTCATATGTGAAATAATTTCCAGAAGACTTAATGCCCTCTTCCACGCCACTGCATTGTCATCAATCCTACGGCGCCTATCACAATAATACACCGGTCCTACATCCCCCTTAACTGGACCCCACGCCTGCCACCACATTAAGCATAGCAAGGCAAATCATCCGATCCTGCGCCTTTTTCCTCATAGTTCTCCTCTTTGGGGTTGTGATTCTGCAGTTAGTTTCCATTGCTCAAAAGAGTCTCACAATTTAATCCAATTTTCCAAAATTACAAAGACCCGATGGAGAACTATTCGTATTCCTCGTACCCAGACTCCGTAAATTCATCGCCGCGATCTCGAGAGATCGACTGTGAGAACGCTTCATGGGACGAGCCGCCTTCATCCAACTATAAGGTGAAGTTCATGTGCAGCTATGGAGGAAAAATCCACCCCCGACCACACGACAACCAGCTCAGCTACGTCGGAGGTGACACCAAGATACTGTCGGTCGAAAGAAACATTCGATTCTCGAGCTTTATGTCCAAGCTTTCGACTCTGTACGAAGCCGATGTTTGCTTCAAGTATCAGCTTCCGGGGGAGGACCTTGACGCTTTGATCTCGGTGACGAATGATGAGGACTTGGAGCTCATGATGCTCGAGTATGATCGGCTTCAGCGAGGCAGCAATAAGCCGGCTAGGCTCCGGTTGTTTCTGTTTCCGTTCGGCTCTCCGGCGGATCCTGGCTTTGGGTCCACCGACTCCAAGGCGGAGCGGCAGTGGTTTGTTGATGTTTTGAATTCCGTACAGATGCAGAATCTTGAATCTAACTCTCAACCGGTCCCGCCGGTGGAAACTCCCGTCGGCGCGGCTGATTTCTTGTTTGGTTTAGATAAAGGGCAACAGCAATTGCAAGGCGTTGGGAAGATTAAGGAGCCGGCTCATCAGCTGCCTCAGCGGCAGAGTGTCCCCGAAGTTTACGGGAAAGAATTCCGTTCTGGCTCCGAGTGTGGATCGGAGCACGTCATGGGAGAGCCGGTGGTGACGCCGGCGGATATTCACCGCCAGATTCAGGAACTCCAGAGGTTGCAGATATCAAGCCAGGAGCAAGCTATGTATAATAGGAAGAGTAGTGATGAGCAGAGCTTGAACCCCCCCAGGGTTTATCCGGGAGAATACTATCAGCCAAAAGCTCCTATCCCGGCGCAGGTGCCGGTGCCGGTGGCGAATCAGGCGGCGCCTCTCTGGCCGGAGCGCCACATCACTACCGGCTCTTACCCGACAAACGTGGCGCCGGTGGCGGCAAGCGAGCCGCCAGTTTACCTGGTCCAGACGCCGGCGGGAGTTTACCAAGCTCAGACGGTTCGACCCGTGACCGGTCAGGTCAGTCAGCCGTACTACGGCATGCAGCGAGTGGTTCCGGAATTTTACCGGGAGCAGGCGGTGTACGGTACGGTCCCACCGCCGTCGTCATTTCAACAATCGAAGATAGCTGGGGGGCCCCACAACCCCGAAGTGCCCATTGCCATGGTGCGCACGGCACCTCCTCCTCCTCCACCCGACCACGTATATGCTCACGTCAGCTACGACAACGTAGGGCGGCAGATTTACTATACAGCTCCCGCCGGACTAAATGTACTTCCGCAGCCGCTACAGCATCCAGCTGCGGCGGCAAACTCCGCCGCGACGGAGGTGGACGTTAGACAGAGTGGCGGCGCGTTATTCCCGGAGGGTAAAATTGTGACCAATAAGCCTTAGAGCAGGCGCCAGAGTTTTCACCTATCCAGTTGAAGTTCAAGAATTATATAAAATTGCATAATATAATTGTACTGGTGTGGAGTTGCGTTTGTACAAAAAAAGCATGTGGCAGTTTTTTTTTTTTTTTTTTTTTTTTTTTTTTTTTTTTTAAAGTTAGTTTATGTAACCTTCCATGAAATGTGTTATCAGTCTTATCATGATGTTTAACTTTGCTTTAAAAACATGCCCAGAGGTTTTCCAATTAGAAGATGCCAATTAATCCCACCACTATCACAAATATAATAAGATTTGAGGAAAAATAATTGATGGTTAACCTAACTTCTATGGAGGGGTGAATCACGTTTTAAGCAACTACCATTTGTCCTCTAATTTTATTGTTCTATTTTAATTACCTAAGCTATGGTTTTTGAGAAAACCTAAGCTATGTTTGCCTTGTTTGGTCAACAAATCCCTAAAAAAAAAAAAGAAATATTGCTAAGAGCATCACCAACTATAGCCTCTCTTTTTAGGGAGGTGGGGGTGGGGGTGTTTGAGCTTTTTTGTCCACATGGAGAGAAAGAAGGAGTGAAAGAGAAGAAAATAAATTAACAGATGGAATGATTTTTGTAGGACTCGTGAGCGGAGAAGAGGAAAAAAAAAAAGTCTTGTTTGGTGCACGCAATAAACACTAACCGCACACAATGACAACTGTTGGTTTTTGGGTTTTCGGACCCAGGGAGGTCCAACACAACCTTGGTCGGTGGATTCACCTTTCACATGCGGCTTATAGGAAAATAAGTAGAAAATATAACTCGATGCTTTTGTACGTGGAAACCGAAAGGAAAACCACGGGCCTTTTTGGGCGGTGCCAAGCCTAAAGACTTTCACTATTTTTGTAGGTATTTGTACATGTATTTGTATAGAATGTATGATGTAAGAATGTGGTTGCCTCTCTTTCTTTCATGTATTGGAACTTCTCTTCTAGTAAAAATGGAGTCTTCTTGAGTGAGAGTGGAAGAGTGGCGTAGGAAGAGTGATGGGGTCTTCCATTGTGCTCAAGAATGGAATCTTCTTCATGTGGTCTTCTTGCTTGAATGAATGGAGAGTGATTGTGGGAGAGTGCCCCCATGTGTGTGGATGAGTGAATGGATCCCCTTTCTTCTTGTCTTCTCCTCCTTTTATAGCTAGCCCATCCCCAAAAGTGTCCGTTGGACATTTAGTAGGGTAGTGATGGGTGATAATTAGGGTAGTAAGTAAGGGTTTAAGTGGGGGGTTATGGATAATAATAATAATAATTAGATATTTGACTAGTGGTAATGAGTGGGGTAATAATAGGGTAGTAAATGGGCTAACGGCTAGTTTTAGGCCGACCCTACACCCGTGCCGATTCCACACTCGCCGCCGACTCCTGGACCGAGCCGACTCCTTGGTTTGACCCGTATCTCTTTTGGGCTTGCTCCATTTTCTTCTTGGGCTTCCCTTCTTTGTCTGGGCCTTATCTCTTTTCTTCTTGGGCCCCGAGCCCACGGGGTTCACACCCCATCAACTAGTCCCTCACTTTTCTATGTCTCGTGCTTAGCAGGGCATGGAAAAGTATATTGTCTTGCCTCAAAATTTCCTTTATTAGCCCCCTCGATTTTTGCCGACTCTTTATTCAACATTCTACACGACTCCATCCTCATGACTTCTCTTTGTTTGCCGTATGACCGACTGCTTCAGTGGATGTGACCCTCCGGCTTCGAGCCCCTTCTATCCTTAGCCGTCGAAGTGAATCTTCGACTGTAACTTTTTCTTTCTCTAATAAACTTTTTTAAGGGTTCGGACTCCTGATTCCTTCTTTATTCGCCGAGTCCCTCAGTCGAGGCGACTCTTCGGTGGTAGCTTCTTTTTCTTCTAAGAAATGTCTAAGGGACAGTGCCCCGACTTCTTTTCCCTTTTCTCTAGAAACGTCTAAGGGTCGGAACCCTTGTTTCTTTTCTCCTTTCTCTAGAAACGTCTAAGGGTCGGAACCCTTGTTTCTTTTCTCTTTTCGCCGAGTCCCTCAGTCGAGGCGACTCCTTAGGCTTTTTCCTTTTCTCAGAAACGGTTTGGTGTCAGTGCCCCGTTGTTTCTATATATACTCGCCGAGTCCCTCAGTCGAGGCGACTCCTTTTGGCTTTTTCACGGAAACGACTAAGGGTCTGGGCCCTTGTTTCCTAACTCTTTCTCGCCGAGTCCCTCGGTCGAGGTGACCCATTAGGCTTTTTCTATCTCAGAAACAGTTTAGGGTCAGTGCCCCGTCGTTTCTCTCAATACTCGCCGAGTCCCTCAGTCGAGGCGACTCCTGTAGGCTTTTTCTCGGAAACGTCTAAGGGTCTGGGCCCTTGTTTCCTATCTTTTCTTGCCGAGTCCCTCGGTCGAGGCGACCCATTAGGCTTTTTCTATCTCAGAAACAGTTTAGGGTCAGTGCCCCGTCGTTTCTCTCAATACTCGCCGAGTCCCTCAGTCGAGGCGACTCCTGTAGGCTTTTTCTCGGAAACGTCTAAGGGTCTGGGCCCTTGTTTCCTATCTTTTCTTGCCGAGTCCCTCGGTCGAGGCGACCCATTAGGCTTTTTCTATCTCAGAAACAGTTTAGGGTCAGTGCCCCGTCGTTTCTCTCAATACTCACCGAGTCCCTCTGTCGAGGCAACTCCTTTTGGCTTTTTCTCGGAAACGTCTAAGGGTCTGGGCCCTTGTTTCCTATCTTTTCTTGCCGAGTCCCTCAGCCGAGGCGACTCCTTAGGCTTTTTCTTTCTCAGAAACCGTTTAGGGTCAGTGCCCCGTCGTTTCTTTACTTTCTCGCCGAGTCCTTCAGTCGAGGTGACTCTTTTGGCTTTTTCTAAGGGTCCTGGACCTTGTTTCTTTTCTTTTTCTCTCGCCGAGTCCCTGCTCGAGGTGAGTCCTGGCTATGATTCTTCTTTTCTGAGTAGACTTCTTTGTGGATGAGAAATTCTCCGAGCAATATTTTGGAAAAGTTTTTCTCGGGTTGTGCGGCACATGTGACTGGAAATTAAGCCTGCCCCATGTGCAAAAGAATCCATCCTCCAAACTCCCATAAGGGAGAATACCCGGTCAGACTCTTGGAGTCGGCTTTGAATAAATGGGCGGACCTCCCGGACCTACCCAATCAGGCTCTTGGTGTCGGCCTTTGAATAAAAGGGCGGACCTCCTCAATCTGTCTCATATTCCTTAGTATCTCCCCAGAATTTTAAAATCACACCTTTATGAGGAAAAAACATTCTCATGTTAAGGCAAGAGGGATTGATCCCTGACCTCATGATTTCCTTCCATAATCTTTGTACTTATTTTCCATACTTGCGTACTGTCTATCCAGGGGGATTGGCGAAAACATCTCCATAGTCTTTAATTCATGCCTTAAATTTCCATAAACCTTCTAGTGAAAGGTTTCAAACTCCAAGAATCTTGGACTTTAATTGTCATCAGCACGTAGGTATAAAATGCCTGCTTTTCCCAAAAAAAATATGTTTTGGAATGGCAATTACCATATTAAATATCAAGTTCCCTTATCTGGTCACCATGCCTTTTTCGCCTAGCAGATTAATCCTCAAATCTTCTTAAAGGCTTTCTTTCACTGCCTGACCGCCTTGCCGACTGCTTTGTCGTTTATGGTCGACTACACGAGGTTCCATGGTGCTTGGTGCCAGGTTTGGCAGTCTGTGACAACAATATGGCAGTGTAGGAAAGTATAACCAGAACCTCTCACATGATCAAGGGAAAAAACGGAGATTATTTGGAGCTTCACCCTCGAAACTCGTAAGTTTTACATTCTTCTGTAGAGGACTGAAAGCCGAGTGCCCCTTTTCACCCATCAGGTCAACACGAGGGTAATGCTACTGGTGGAATACTTATCTCATCTCCGGAAGAGCCACATAGCCGTATGACGAACCAGACTGGAGCATTCTTAATTTCCATTTCTCCTGGCCAAATCCGGTTCCGGAGCTTGGTGCTGCCTTGTCTGATTAATTGGTGCTTTGGCAGGAGAATAGTCTCCGCTCGGTCTCCAGCGATGATGGCCAGCGGCGGTCTGTGCGTTTGGTGGCGTTCTTCGCTCTCGGCCAGCGTTGGTGGTGAGGGCGGTATCGAAGTGGGAGTCGATCATCAGAATCCGCCACCGTCGACCCTTCCAATTTCTACCGAGCTTGTTGGACTTAAATGCACTTTCCAAAACGCAGAGAATCATCTGTATAGTTCTAACGATCTCACTGGCCAATCATATAAGCAGATCAGAGAGACTTTGAAGACGAGCTCGACTTATCACATTCCTGTGCCGAGTCCATCGCTACCGGCTCTTCGAATTTAGTCGGTGCCTTCAAGTTCGTAATCCAAGAGACACGTGACCGACTCCCAAACTCTTGCTGAGTACTCTCCTTGTCGACTTCCTACGTGAGTTACAACGCTGAACCCCTCAGTTAGACAACAAGTTTGATGACTTCTTGCTTCCTTTTATCACTCCTTTACTCAACATGAATGCTTCAATTCTGTTCTAGCGAGTTCTTGGCCAAGTCAGACGATATTCGAGGACCCATCCATGCTAGTGACAACTCACTTTTCTCCGAAGGCAGTTCTGTGGTGTTGCACTTGAGAAAGAATGGTGGGAATGTCGCGTTCCTCTCATCATGAGAACGGCATACTGCTCCGACTCCGCGACCGATCGCATGATGTCCGACTCCGTTGATTCGGCGCACTTGGCGGACTCGGCGAAATAATCGTGGACGCTTGTATATGCAGCGAATCGAAGGACTCGGCCTTCAATTGCAAGTGGGATTTTTCTCTTCTTCCCCTTTTTCTTTGAGAATGCTCCGTATTGCAATAAACCAATATTTCCATGCGTAGATGTGTTTTGAAAAACAGATAAACTATGCCGCCAGACTGCCGGGTAAGGCTCGTGAGGTCTGAATTTTCGACATCTCCTGGAGAGTACGCAACTTTGCCAAGGTGATTGCCTCAGCGTGAACGTTTAAACTGCCGATTTATAGTTTCGCCGATCAAGCTGCTAACGGCCTTGGGAGGGGATGGCCAATTGGTGCTTCATTTTCATGGTCTGAGTTCGAATCTGGCCACTCCGATTGTAAATTAGCGACGCTGGGATTTGACTCGCTGGCGGTGAGTTTCTGGCAACTTGAAATTTTCATACAATCGATGGCGTTGGTCTCGGAGTGGCGACGCCTCCTCCGACTTTTGGCTGATCAAGCTTGTTTGCTGATTCCCCGTCCTCGGCTGCCC